GAAACAGAGTGAGACTCTGTCTCAAAACACACAAAAAAAGAATGTTAGAATAAAGAGTATATTAATAGGCCGGGCGTGGTGGCTCATGCCTATAATCCCAGCACTATGGGAGGCTGAGGCAGGCGGATTGCTCAAGGTCAGGAGTTTGAAACCAGCCTGACCAAGAGCGAGACCCTGTCTCTACTAAAAATAGAAAGAAATTAATTAGCCAACTAAAAACATATATAGAAAAAATTAGCTGGGCATGGTGGCGTGTGCCTGTAGTCCCAGCTACTTGGGAGGCTGAGGCAGAACGATTGCTTGAGCCCAGGAGTTTGAGGTTGCTGTGAGCTAGGCTAATGCTATAGCACTCTAGCCCAGGCAACAAAGTGAGACTATCTCAAAAAAAAAGCAAAGAATAATAAAAACAAAGAATGATCAATTAGTTTGATACAATTTTTATATATCGGCATAATGTATGGCCAATAAAACAAACAAAATCAGAAGTACCAAGAGATACTGAACAGCACCATTCCATAAACAAAGTTTTAAAGACTATGGTAAAGGAGTATGTTAGTTAAAATGAAGAAAATACCGAGATTAACCACTAGAGGGCAGTAGTAGGCCATCAGAAAGTAGTTCTTTGTCATCCATAACTTTTTTTTTTTGAGACAGAGTCTCCATTTGTTGCCCAGGCTAGAGTGAGTGCTGTGGCGTCAGCCTAGCTCACAGCAACCTAACTCTTGGGCTCAAGCAATCCTACTACCTCAGCCTCCCGAATAGTTGGGACTACAGGCAAGAGCCACCATGCCCTCATTTTTTCTATATATATTAGTTTTTCTATATAAAAAATAGGCTAATTTTTTCTGTATATTAGTTGGCCAATTAATTTCTTTATATTTATAGTAGAGACGGGGTCTCGCTCTTGCTCAGGCTGGTTTCGAACTCCTGACCTCGAGCAATCCACCTGCCTCAGCCTCCCAGAGTGCTAGGATTACAGGCGTGAGCGCCCGGCCTGTCAATCATAACTATTAAGTAGCACTATTACTCTCTAATACCCCTGCTGTAGTGATGCTGATATCTCTAAAAAGCTATTTGAAAAGCTCTAAACAAGTTAATAATTGCAACCAAGGTGACACAATCAGTTTATAATTAATTATAAAAATCAAAACACCCTTTTTTGCCTACACAAATACAACAAAATTAAAACGATTCACGCATTCACCAGCATCGGAGTATGAGGAAATAAATACTATTAGTGGGAATATAAACTGGTATAGATTTTGAGAACAATTGGACAAAAACAGAGAAAAATTTTAAATGCACAAATTTTGATTTGGAATCTACTTCAAGGACATTCACTGGCAGCACTGTCACAGTAAAAGGCTTGAGACAATCTAGATGTTTATGGACAGGGAAATGGCTCAATAAAAACCCATATGATAAGGCCAGGCGTGGTGGCTCACGCCTGTAATCCTAGCTCTCTGGGAGGTCAAGGCAGGCAGATTGCTACAAGGTCGGATTCGAAACCAGCCTGAGCAAGCGAGACCCAATCTCTATAAACAGAAAGAAATTAATTGGCCAACTAATATATATAGAAAAATTAGGCCGGGCATGGTGGTGCATGCCTGTAGTCCCAACTACTCGGGAGGCTGAGGCACAGAATCGCTTGACCCAGGACGTTTGAAGTGTTGCTGTGAGCTAGGCTGACGCCACGGCACTCATTCTAGCCTGGGTAACAAAGTGAGACTCTGTCTCAAAAAAAAAAACCCATATGATAGAATACTAAGCAGAATTTCTAAAAACTGAGGTAGATCTATGTTTGATATGGAAAGATTTCTACCACATAAGTGAAAAAGACAACTGCATGTGAATATGTACATAATATACATTTACATAAAATGTTTGCAAAATTACATAGAAAAAGAATGCACACTAATTTGTTGGAGGTCAAATGATTAAGGAAGGGCAATGAAGTTTTATTAAATTTATTGCTATACTATTTTAACTTCAACAAGCATGTATCTCTATTACTTGAATGATTTGAATGAGTAAAATTCAAGGCAGAAAACATTAAATGTAACAACAGTATTTCTGTTAGTGAAAAATGATACAACTTATGATGAAGACAACAAAGGCTAAAGATTATAATCATTTACATGGCTAAAACTATATTTTTAAGTTACTGCTGGTTTTAATAAAGGGTAATCAATCTTATACAGCCAAGTCTTAAAGGCTAGGTTTCCATCATTGGACATGGAGAGAAGAAATGGGTATTTAGAGATGATTAAATATATAATACAGTTTCATAGCTACAATGATGAACCACCATCCTCTGACTCCCAACACTTTTCCTGAGAGAAAGCAAGAGAGCAAATGAGAAAAAGAGGGAGAAGGAGGATGGGGGAGAAAGGAGAAAGAAGAAGAAGGGATCCTGAATAAAAATAACTAATCAGAACCTCTAGAGTCCTTGCCTCCACTAAAACATAGGAATTTGGACATTATGAAATATGCTTCAGAGTATATTCAATGATGCTAAATTCATTTCTCTCTAAAGAATATTATAAACACCAGACTAGTTTCATTTGATATCTTAGTAACTTATATAAATTAATAATATCACGGAACTGAAAAAACAGATCTCAGACAGATTATACCTAATTCATCCCCATAAAAGGAATTACCCACTGGTTTCTCTTTTAATGCCTAAAAGGTTTCACAAACTTTCACTCCCAACCTGAACATGTTACTAAAAGAATTATATATCTTATCTATCATCAATGTTTTCTTTTATTTTATTCTTTAAATTTTATTTGCTTTACACCCCAATCTAAGCATTGGCCCTTCAGTTTCACTTTCACTAGTCCCAAACTGTAGCATCTAGGGCATCTAATCCCTTACTTAGAATTAGGTCCTAAAAAGTCCTAAAATTTTCCAAACATACTGGATTTTGTGAAATATATAATAGGCTGGTAAAACTAATCAAAGACTTGTCTATTCTGATTTACCATATAAAATGACTGTGTAAACTGTCAATACTTGAGTGGATGTTTGGGGAAATAAGGAGGTGAATGACTAATTTCGTAGCATTATTAAAGGCATTTAATTGCACCAAACAGACAGAAGATCTGCAACAAATATACATACATAAGGAGAGACCCATTAAGCTCCAAAGTGATTTGGAACACTGCTTTCTAAAGTCTCGTGGCAGTGGCAGATCCCTGTGGAAGGAAGTTGCTTGGCAACTGGAAATTTTATTTACCAATAGGTAATTTAATATAAAAGCCTTCCAGGTTATGCACTGTGTAATGCAGTATGTTTTTGTTCTTATTGGTTGTAACATTCTGAGTTAATAGTAGGTGGCTACATAAGATAGCAACAAATTGATAGGAAAAAAATAGAATACAAAGTTATACTTAAATGAGTCACTTTTTCCCTTTTCTTCCCTCATCTCCCAAAGCAAAAGCAAACACATTGTATTCCCCTCTCCTCCCCGCCAAGTGTTAGAAGAAATTCAATCACCTTCCAGCTCCCAAAAGTCACACCGAGAAATAAAAACTTAACTTTAAGATTACTCAAAGAACTATGCAGCAAGAGAATCTGGATAGAAAGGATAGTTTCATGAAAAGTACAGTTAGCCTGAATGAAGGGAGGGCAGAACAGAAAAGACATTGTGGAAAGGAGGGCTCCAATATAACCGTTTACTTAGTGTGTAAATGCTTAGACAGAAACATTAGTCAGAAAAAAAAGCCAATTACTAAAGAAAATTGCTTCCAAACTAAGGCAGCTACTGGAACACATTATTAGTAGATATAAGCCAGGCCTGAGTACTAAAATTTTCCCCTTTCTTCCCTTCACTGTAGAAAAAACATTTCATGCAGTGACTATTATTGCAGAAACCAAGAGGAAAAGACACTGAAATTCAATACTATATTATAAAATGCTGCAATTTTTAAATTTAATAATAAAAAATGGCCCGAATAGCTTAGAAATCTTCCTGCTGAAATAATACAGGGAAATCAGCAAGTATTTCACTTTTAAAAAGATATTTATTCTTGCTTAACCAGCACTGATTTTTCCCCTTTGGTATTTTTGTTCATTTGCTGCCATAAGCTTTCAGTCAAAAGAACCATACCCAAGTTATCAAACTAGCTAAAATATGATGAATTACGGTATTTTTCGGAGCAAGCTTTACTGGTTATTGTTGTTACTTTTAAATAAACATTAAAGTTCAAAAAAAATAAAATAAACATTAAGGTTCTCTATACAGTTTTCCCCAGAGAGAACAATGCTTACCATCCCAAAGAGAAGAGAAAAGGAAATTACTGAATGCTGTAGTTGAGACACAGTTCATTAAATGGAACCTCTTTTAAAGAGACTTCCTTTCACTATATATATGTTTGGTAAATGAAATGATAAAACAGTGCCTTTAATAAATAAAAGAAAATCACATCTGTACTACCTAAATAATTCTCATAATTAAAATATGACTTGAAAATAAAATTCTAGTTTTAGGATGCAAAGAAATTTGGAAGCCTAGTGAGAGTCTATTTACTCTCTTAAAGCAACTCTAAAAATTGTTCTTTAAGGGTAATTAGCACAAAAAACCACTCAGGCCGATTTTAGGCATCAAACAGTAAACAAAAGATTTTATAATAGTGTAAGTTAAGCTCCATCAATCTATTCCAATTCACCACAACCATATAATCCAGTGTTTTGATATACTGTTAAATCTTCACAGTAACTTCTCAAAAGACCATGAGAACAACTTCATTCAATAAACATTTTATCACTCACCCACTATATGCTAGGCACTGTGCCACTAGAAGAAACAGAGAGAGCAATGTGGACTTATCTCAGTTAATTATCAAATTTCTGATCAATTCTGAAAGACAGTTTTTAATATTTATAGGAATACTTAAAAAGTACTGGTTTATAATCACTGTCATAATAATAGGTTTTTGTTGTTGTTTGGGGGGGGGGTTGCAGTGGTAATTCAATTTTTTTTTTTTGTTTTTTACCTTCATTAGCCTCTGGCCTTGAATTCTTGATATATGCAGAGAATTTGGCAAAGATGTCCATTCCAGCAGTATTTGACTCTGGGTGTTTTGGTGAAAGCTTTAAGTACCTAAATAGGAAAGGAGATAGATTATAAATCCTTCAAAGATACATTAACATAAATTTTCTCAATCAACAAACAACTCCGCTAGCAGTTACTAGATATCTTTTAACAGTTATTAATCTAAGAAATGCCATCAGCATTTTCTGCAATATTATTTAGGGGTGTTTTTTCCTTAGGAAACGAAGCTCTGCACAGTGATTTTGGTCACATATTAATATTCTTGGCAACTAAAGGGCATCCATATTCCACCTCCATTTGATAAATTAGGATGCTGGACAAACAGTCGACTTGTTCAGAGATTTGTGCGAGGCCAACGTCTTAGAATGAGATCTCTAAAGCAGTGCTATCCAAGAGAACCTCCTGTGATGATGGAAATGTTCTATATATTCATTGTCCAATATGATGACCAATAGTGCCATGTAGCTATCTGATTACAAATTAAACACAAATAAAATTAAAAAACTGACTTCCTGAGTTGCACTTGTCACATTTCAAGTGCTCAACAGTCACCAGACAGCACAGCTCTAGAGCCTTGTTAGTGACGCCAACCAGATCCTTAGTATGCCATGCACTAGGCCAGCACTATGCAGCAGTAACAGAGAACCTAACAGGAGGATAGAGCCTACGCTGGTCAAACACTGTGATGATCTATAGCAAGTTAAGGACAAAAACAGCAGGCAACAGATCATTCACTTCAAACTTATACTCTGGATTTTCCAAAAGCTCCCATATATTAGATATGACAGTATATTTGAGGGTAGCACTTAGCAATAGAAAAACAGGATGTCAGAAATCATACTGAGGTTTCAACTACTACTATACCAAAAAAAAAAAAAGAAGAAGAAGAAGAAGAAGAAGAGAAAAAGAAATCATACTGAGGAATGCTCTGTTATGTTACAGTTTTTCTACTTTGAGAATAGACATGACACACCAAATTTGTAAACCCCCTCTCCAATATTTTACATATTTAGATTTCAAACCCATGTACTCAGTGGATATTTCTTCCTCACACTGGAAAACACATGTGAAAAGACTCAACTATTCATCTTCTCTTCAGTAGGTCTTGCATCAGCTCCAGGGAGTCAGGGCTAGAGGAATTCCGATTCTTAGTCCGACCCAGGGAAGATTAATCAGCTGAAGGTCCTACAAAATGTCACTAGAAAATGGACTTGGGAGCAGTAAGGCTTCAGAAAAAAATCTTACAATGAACTAGTAATTGCAATTTACTAAAGACACTGTCTTGCCAGTTTTCTTTAAATGAAAAATGATGCGGCAGTTTTAAAAAGAAATTTAGGTTCAGCGGCCAGGCGCGATGGCTCAAGTCTGTAATCCTAGCACTCTGGGAGGCAGAGGCAGGAGGATAGCTCAAGGTCAGGAGTTTGAAACTAGCCTGAGCAAGAGTGAGACTTCATCTCTACTAAAAATGTAAAGAAATTAATTGGTCAACTAAAAATATATAGAAAAAAATAGCCTGGCATGATGGCACGTGCCTGTAGTCCCAGCTACTCGGGAAGCTGAGGCAGGATTGCTTGAGCCCAGGAGTTTGAGGTTGCTGTGAGCTAGGCTAACGCCATGGCACTCTAGCGCAGGCAACAGAGCGAGACGCTGCCTCAAAAAAAAAAAAATTAATTAATTAATTTAGGTCACTTGCAAGTTGTGTTTCAGTTTAGTTTTTACATTATTCATATTTCTTCTGTTTACTATTTTGAATCCAGGAAGAAATATATCTTCTAAAAATTGGGCATAGTACTGTATTAGTAAGGAGGATGTAAAATACCTGTGGGACACATATATGCTCAAAATATCTTTCTTTTTAATAGGTCTACCTAGTCTCTAAATCTCTCTCAATTTTTAAGCTTAAAGATTTCTCTTGGTCGGGCACAGTGGCTCACACGTGTAATCCTAGCACTCTGGGAGGCCAAGGCAGGAGGATTGTTTGAGGTCAGGAGTTTGAGACCAAGCTGAGAAACAGCGAGACCCTGTCTCTACTAAAAATAGAAAAAATTAGTTAGGCGTGGTCGTGGGCATCTATATAGTCCCAGCTACTGGGGAGGCTGAGGCAGGAAGATCACTTAAGCCCAGGAATTTGAGGTTGCTGTGAGCTAGGCTGACGCCACGGCACTAGTCTAGCCCAGGTGACAGAGTGAGACTCTGTCTCAAAAAAAAAAAATTTCTCTTATAAATACATTGATTTACATAAAGAGTTTTTCAGTGAAAAATTATAGCAAATGAGTTTCACCCAAGTTTATATATCTATGTCTATATTTTCCCTCTTCCTAACTACTTAACTATAGAAATCTTTATACTCTCTTGCTCTTTCTCATTTCTTCTTTCTGCCTAAGTTAAAACAGTTAAACCCAGGTCCAACAACCCTGAATTTCCCTTGACTATAAAAACAACCAGCTTCCTTAAATGTTTGTACTGTTTGTAATACAGCACCTTCGCTGACTCATTTCAAACAAAAAATAGTGCAGAGAACATAAGTGCCTTTTCAAACATCTATGTCTTCCTCTAGCCAAGCTTCCAAAATTAGTCTTCTTTTCTCCAAGCAGTATTTAGGTGTGCCTACTTTTTATAATGAGGTAAACCTCATAATTCTCCAAATAACTTAGAGGAGGGCAGGCTTGAATTACAAATCATTTATATATTCATTTCTATAATTCTTATAATTATTGAGTATTTATTTTTTATATTTTTTATTTTTTTATTTTTTTGAAACAGAGTCTCACTTTGTTGCCCAGGCTAGAGTGAGTGCCGTCAGCCTGGCTCACAGCAACCTCAATCTCCAGGGCTCAGCGATCCTCCTGCCTCAGCCTCCCGAGTAGCTAGGACTATAGGCATGCGCCACCATGCCCGGCTAATTTTTTGATATATATTTTTAGTGGTCAATTAATTTATTCTATTTTTGGTAGAGACGGGGGTCTCGCTCAAGCTGGTTTTGAACTCCTGACCTTGAGCAATCCACCCGCCTCGGCCTCCCAAAGTGCTAGGATTACAGGGTGAGCCACCACGCCGGCGAGTATTTATTAATACTATGTGCCAGGCATGCTCTAGTAAGTGTTAGGGATGTAATGATGAGCATATAAAAGCAAAATTCCCACTGTACTTTTCAAATACACAAGAACTCCAACTAGAGAAATATTTTGGTGGAACAGGTAAAATGAAGGAGGACTTGCTAATTGCATATCCTTAATCATATTAAATACGTGCTATTAAAATTCTGGGGAAATACACTGTTCTCTAAATCAGGTTAAACGTGCCCTACTGTACCCTGAGACAATATTAAATTGTTACTATTAACTTAATGCATAAATATTTAGCTATTTCATTTAGTTATGATCTTTATTATTTTTCTTCTGCTAATTTGGGGTCTGGTTTATTCTTGCTTTCCTAGTTCTTTGAGGTACATTAGATTAATTAGTAGTCTTTCTACTTTTTTGATGTGGGCATGTATTGCTATAAATACCCTCTTAGAATGGCTTTGCTGTATCCCACAGGTTTGGTATATTGTTTCCATTTCATGTTTCAATACATTTTTTTAGGCCAGGCGCAGTGGCTCACAGCTGTAATTCTAGCACTCTGGGAGGCCAAGGCAGGAGGATTGCTTGTGCTCAGGAGTTCGAGACCAGCCTGAGCAAGAGCAAGACCCCGTCTCTACTATAAATAGAAAGAAATTGCCAAACAACTAAAAATAGAAAAATTTAAAAATTAGCCGGGCACAAGATTAACTGGGGGTGGTGGTGATCTAGGGTGATGCCACGGCACTCTAGCCCAGGCAAGAGAGTGAGACTCTGTCTCAAAAAAAAAAACAAAAAAAAAAACATTTTTATTTCCATCTTAATTGTTTCATGGACCCAGTGGTCATTCAGGAGAATGCTGTTTAATTTCTATGTACCTGTATAGTTTACAGAGTTCCCCTTGGTGTTGATTTACAGTTTTATTCCATTGTGATCTGAGAGATATTTTACATGATTTCTATTTTTTTAATTTGTTGAGACTTGTTGTGTGGCCTAACATATGTTCTATCCTAGAAAATATTCTATGTACTGATGAACTTAAATTTAACAGGAAAAACAAATAATCCCATTTAAAAATGGGCAAAGGACATGAATAGCCATTTCTCAAAAGACAGTACACCAACAGGTATATGAAAAATGCTCAAATTCACTAATCAGCACAGAAATGCAAAAGAAAACCACAATAAGATAACATTTTACTCTAGTCAGAACAGCTATTATGAAAAAGACAAAAAAACAACAGATGTTAGAGAAGATGCAGAAAAAAGGGAACAGCATAACACCATTGGTAGGAATGTAAACTAGTATAGCCACTGTAGAAAACAATATGGAGATTTCTCCAAAAAAAAAAAAAACTAAACTAAAAATAGAATTACCATTCAATTCAGCAATCCCACTACTGGGTCTCTTAATCAAAGAAAAAGAAATCGGCATATCAAAGGCATACCTGTATTCGCATATGTTTGCTGCAGCACTACTCATATTAAGATACATAATCAACCTGTCTATCAACAGCTGAATGGATAAATATGATAGATATACACAACAGAATATTATTCAGTCATAAAGAATGAAATCATGTCATTTGCAGCAACACTGACGGCATTGGAGGTCATTGTCTTGTGTGAAATAAACCAGGCACAAAAAAACAAATATCAGGCAGGGCCCGGTGGCTCAAGCCTGTAATCCTAGCACTCTGGGAGGCTGAGGCAGGCAGATTGCTCAAGGTCAGGAGTTTGAAAAAAGAATACTATACCTAAAATACAATATTCGCCTCAAATCTCTCATTTTTGCCTAAAAGGAAGGAAATTACATTCCATAAAGCATATACACTTGGCCACAAAGTCAATTAGTTAAAAATATAGACAAACTCAAACTCAGATATTTTGTTCACAGGAGTTGTTCTTTTTTTCCTATTATAGATCAGATTCTCTCTAAAATATGAATCAAATTTTAAACTAATCCATCCAAATTTTTTGTATCTTTCCC